GATGTTGCCTGGTATGGAGGGAAGGTCTTATGAGGAAAGGCTGAGGGTTTTGAGGCTGTTTTCGTTAGAGAGAAGAAGGTTAAGAGGTGACTTGATAGAGACATACAAGATGATCAGAGGATTAGATAGGGTGGACAGTGGGAGCCTTTTTCCTCGGATGGTGATGGCTAGCACGAGGGGACATAGCTTTAAATTGAGGGGTGATAGATATAGGACAGATGTCAGAGGTAGGTTCTTTACTCAGAGAGTAGTAAGGGCGTGGAATGCCCTGCCTGCAAAAATAGTAGACTCGCCCACTTTAAGGGCATTTAAATGGTCATTGGATAAACATGTGGATGATAATGGAATAGTTTAGGTTAGATGGGCTTCAGATTGGTTTCACAGGTCGGCGCAACATCGAGGGCCGAAGGGCCTGTACTGTGCTGTAATGTTCTATGTTCTATGTTCTATGAGTTCAATTCCCAGCTGTGGCTCAATCCAGATGCTCAGTTGCTGATGATACCTACTGAAGCAAGCTGGGGACTGGATTTTCCTCAGCATCACTTGTTATTGATAAGAAATAGTTGACACTCATTTTATTGGCAAGGTTTTTATTTCACTTGTTGGACACGGGCATTGCTGGCTGGGCCATATTTATAGTCTGTCCCTAGTTGCCTTGAGAAGGTGGGGGTGAGCTGCCTTCTTGAACCACTGCAGTCCATATGCTGTAGGTCAACCCACAATGCCCTTAGCGAGGGAATTCCAGGATTTTGACTCAGCGACAGTGAAGCAACGGCGATATATTTCCAAGTCAGAATACTGAGTGGCTTGGAGGGGAACTTGAAGGGGGCAGTGTTCCCATGTATCTGCTGCCCTTGCCCTTCTGGATCTATTTGGTCATGAGTTTGGAAGGTGCTGTTTGGGGATCTTTGGTGAATTTCTGCAACGCAACTTGTGGATAGTACACACTGCTGCTACTGAGTGTTGGTGGGGGAGGGAGTGGATGTTTGTGAACGTTGTGCCAATCAGGTGGGCTGCTTTGACCTGGATGGTGTCGAGCTTCTTGAGTGTTGTTGGAGCTGCCCCTATCCCGGCAGGTGGGGAGTATTTTGTTTTGTTCATTCGTGGGAAATGGGCGTCGCTGGTTGTCCAAAATGTACTTGCTAGTCCATTTCAGAGGGCAGTTGAAAGTGAAGCACATTGTTATGGGATAACAAGGTGTAGAGCTGGATGAACACAGCAGGCCAAGCAGCAGAGGAGCAGGAAGGCTGACGTTTCGGGCCTAGACCCTTCTTCAGAAATGTTATGGGTCTGGATTCACACATAGGCCAGAGACAAAGTGAGGATGGCAATTTCCTTCCCTAAAGGACATTAGTGAGCCATGTCATAAATGTTTTGACCACACAGGAAAACAGTGTTGAGAGGAGGTTGAAGGGTTCTTGGCACCAGACCTTTAATGAAATGAAAGGTTAAAGCACAAGGAGCACTGGTTTAATTATTCACGTGCTGAACAGCTGTTTAAAACTGGGAAGAATGTAGAACCAGTTAAATGATATTGGATCATTGTGGGTACATGGATTATGTAAAGTTGCTCAATCACAGTTAAAATCAGATTTGGTCCGAGAGATTCTTGTGTGAGCAGAACCATGTGAAAGATCACAAGATCCCTCTCACCAGTCTGCCTGGTAAACAAGCTTCACGTGGCTGACTGCTGACTGAGCAGCTTTACAATCAATCTTTCCCCCTGAATATTCTGGGCCGTTTGTACAGGGGATGCTGCAATGCCATTAACAAGCTCACGGCAGCCTAATCTGTTGCCATAACAACCACATTCCAACACAGAGACATCTAGCAGCTTGTGTGTTAACATCACAGTTGGGAAACATGGGGTCTGCCATGAGTTGAGCAGCCAGTCCTGATCTTGAGCAATAGGAACATGCTTTCTCACTTACAAAGCTCCCTCTTCCTGCACAGGACAGTTAAACTATCACTCATAATTATCTAGCTCTCAGATCCTCTCTTGCTTTCTCTAATCAGGATCTTCCAGGAGCTTTCAAATTGCTGAGAAATACCAAATAGTAACAGACCATTAAAAATCTTTAATTTTCATGGTTACTCTGGGAATAGTGTGGCTTGTTTTTCCGCACATTATTCCAGGGGGGTAACAGCATGTACCCATCACCCCAAGGGACACTGCCCAAGTCGCACACTCCATAGTTGCAAATTTTCATTACCATAAGTTACTCGTAGTTAATTATTCTATTTTCTCTTCCCTCCACAAGCTACTTGTTTTAAACCAAAGTACTATGGGACGTACTAAGGTCACAAATGCTCTATGTACATGGGACTCTTTCATTGTATACCGGTACAGGGTCACTTCCACTGCTCTTTTCACAGTAATACCCACAGACAGACAGCCCATTCACAACTACTGAATAACCAGAACAGCAAGCTGCTTCAGACTGACAGGATGCCACGGCACTCATGGAATAGTTGGGACACTGTTCAGAGAAAGAGAGATATAGCTAACTTAAAGTAATATGTGTAAAATAGAGAAGAAACCAGAAGGATGTTGTCAAATGTGCTTGCACACCCTTGGCTAGCAGTGTTTTGGAATGAATGGAGCAACTGGTATTTAGCTCAACATCAAAGAGCCTGCCCTCCAGCAATATTGCCCCTAGGCAAGAATATCAGGAAGAGTCAGGAATCAAATATTTTCCCAATGACTGATGTTGTGCTAATTGTAACAGAGAGAATTTTGCATTTATTTTAATCCCTGCTTTAGAAAAGCAATTTTTGGTATACTGGTAGGTTGGAAAGTGGGAGGCAGTTGTGTAGAACATAAAAACACCAACACTGACTGAAAACAGAAAGTGGTGGAGAAACTCAGCAGGTGCATTAGCACCTGTCAACAGAGAAACAGTTAACATTGAGACTATTGTGACTCCTCTTCAGAATTGCAAGACTTGCTAACTTCTCTAGCACTTTCTGTTTTTGTTTCAATCTCCAAAATCGTTTATATTTTACTTTTACATCAGCATGGACTAGTTGTGCTGAATGGCTGCTTCTGCACGAAAAGTTCCAGAAATAAGATAAGACAAGAGAATCCTAGTAAAGACTTAGAACATAGAACATAGAACATACGACAGTACAGGCCCTTTGGCCCTCAATGTTGCGCCGATCTGTGAAACCAATCTGAAGCCCATCTAACCTACACTATTCCATTATCATCCATATGTTTATTTCCAATGACCATTTAAATGCCCTTAAACTTGCTTTCATATAACCCCTTGTCTTACCACAGGACATCCCAAAGGCACTCATCCTGACGTATAGCCACTATTGTAGTATAGGAAACGTGATGCTCAATTTGCATACAAGATCCCATATAAAGCACCGTGTTAGTGATGGCATATTCAGGGTTAAAAATGTTGGTTCTGGAAGACTTCACAATATGGATACAAGGGGAACTTCCTATCTTTTGAAATTGTGCCATGCAATGCTTTAGGGCAAAATAGCGCACTTCAACCTACGACAGCACCTCTGACAGTGCCGCACTCCCCCAATATCAACTTTGATGATTGTGCTGTTCTATCTTAGTACTGACCCTCCAACAGTACAGCACTCATTCAGTACCCGATCATCCGAGAACACAGAACCTCCTTAGTACAGTCCCTCTGACAGCACAGCGCTCCATAAGCACTGACCCACTGACACTGCAACACTCCCTCAGTATTGACCTGCTAACAGTGCGGCACTCCCTCAGTACTGACCCGCTGACAGCACGGCACACACTCAGCATTGACCCACTGAGGGGCGCAACAATCCTTCAGTACTGAATGGACGGTCACCCTGGAATTATTGCTCAATTCTTTCGATTTGGAGGGGAAGCAAAGCTCAAGGAAAATGTTTGAAGCTTGAAAATTTGTGCTCTGAAAATCAACAGCGGAAGGGTTAATTCTGTGAGGCAGTGGACTTTCTGGTCAGCTACGTAGGAACCAAATATTCCTGTTTTACCAGTTAAGTGAGAAATTCTTTAAAAGCTCAGTTTACAAGATAGCACAATAAGCAGCCTTCCCCTCCCCCATTTCTGAAGAAGGGTCTAGGCCCGAAACATCAGCTTTCCTGCTCCTCTGATGCTGCTTGGCCTGCTGTGTTAATCCAGCTCTACACCTTGTTATCTCAGATTCTCCAGCATTGGCAGTTCCTACTATCTCTGAAACAATAAGCAGCAATTTGGTTACACTGGATTTCTGCCCAACTCTCTCTGTTGTTCTTTGTGTCATTAATGTGTGACCTTTTCAGATCTCAATGACTTGATGGAGGAAAATATATAAACACACAATTTCCATTGCCTTTCATTTTGACATAAAGAAGCATATCTCAATTATAAAGCAAAGCAGAAATCACTTTCACTACAAATTCCTCCAAGATAGGGCAGAGTAGTAACAAAACAATTCAATTTCAAATACCAAAAGAACTCAAATCTATGGCTGAAAAATTAGAGAGGGCTGATGCTTTATTGGAAAACCGGAAAAAAAAGCTTCTTCATACTCACAGATTATAATCTTGTCTCCAAGTCGGCAATTGTGGTTTCAATCCCCATTTCAGAGACATGAGCAGATAATTAAGGCTGAAACCTAAAACCAGTGAGGTGCTAAGGGACTGCCATGTGGCCAGAGATGCTGTCTTTAAAATGAAAGTTTAAACTGAAGGCCTGTTTGCCTTGCTCTCAGCTACTTCTCGTGATTCTGGCTGACCTATCCAGTCATTTATTGTACCGCTTGTGGAAGCTTGCTGTTACAATGCAAAAACCAATGGTTGTGAAGCAGCCCTTTGGGGAGAAAAGCTGATCTGAGGATAAAGGAGGTGACAGGGAGAGGCACGGATCTAATATTCATCAGGAAGTGATAAGATTTCCTCTGCTGACAGTTTTAAACAAAATTAGGAACATGTTCTAAGTGATCCTCACCATAAATGATGACCAGAAAAAAACCATTTCCCTTCCTTTCTTCACAGAACTGCCTTTACACTCTGACATTTCAAACTACAATCTCATGTAATGTCCAGCTGCAACCGCAAGAGGTGCAACACCAGCCCCTACATTTCCCCTCTAACCTCAGTCCAAGGCCCCAAACAATCCTTCCAGACCCAGCAGAGATTCACCTGCACTTCATCCAACCTGATCTATTGTATCCGTTGCTCCCGATGGGGTCTCCTCTATATCCTGGAGACCAAACGCAGACTTGGGGACCAGTTCGCTCTGCACTCTGCACATATCAACCAATCCGACTTTCCGGTTGCCATCCATTTTAATTCCCCCCCCACTCCCCTGGCAACATGTCCATCCTTGGCGTCTTCCACTGTCAGAGTGAGGCCAAACGTAAACTGGAGGATCAACACCTGGGTATTTTGCCTTGGAAGCTTACAGCCCAATGGTCTCAACATTGATTTCACTAGCTTCAAAATTCCTCCACCCCCAGTCTTATCTCATGTCCAGCCCTGCCCCTTGCCTCCCTGACATGACCTAACCTGTCCATCTTCCTACTTACCTATCCACTCCACCCTTCCCAGTGAACAATCACAATAACCCCCTACATACATCCACCTATCACCATCTCTCCTACCCTTCCCTCAGCCCCCCCCCCCTCCCTCTATTTACTTCTGGGCTCCTCTCCCCCTCCCCAGTCCTGACAAAGGGTTCCAGCCTGAAACGTTGACTTTCCTGCTCCACTGATGCTGTCTGACCTGCCGTGCTTTTCCATCCTCACATCTACTCACTCTGGCTTCCAGCATATGTAGTCCTTACTGTCTTCAAGTCACTAACGTCTAGCTTTACTCTGATCAGCAACAAATGAGAAAGATCCCAAGGCAGTCGATCAAAAACCATTTGCTTAGTTCCAGGAATTACCACAAGCCTTGCATTGCACGTGGCCCACAATGGCAGTCTTCCCAGCAGTTTCCAGTTATTTTCTGGGATTGGTTTGGATGGAGGAAAGGGGACTGTCAAACAGATTCCCAAAGCACTTTTGGAAACTGCTGTGGTTAATTATTTCAACCACCTCTGTCCTTCGCCCAAACACATTGTTAACATCCTCACAAACGTTAGAAAGTTTGATGACTGAGTACAATAGGCTGAAGGGCCTCTCTCCATGCTAAAATTCTCAATGTCTCTAAAACATGATCAACATGAGCAGCTCCTTCTGGTCAGAGACAGACACAGATAAAGGGACATACAATGAAAACACATTTTATGGCTTATATTGGGAATCATTAGCGATCAATGATATTTTGTGCAAGTCTCTCGGGTTTGCATCATAACTCACACACAAAATGTAAGGAAACTGTAAACTTTCGCCATGCAGGGTGTGTTTGAAGATGTTACGGTTAGGGTTATGGGAAGTACAGATTCAGAATGGTACCAAGATCACAGTGATAAATGAGGAGGTTTGTACTCCCTCTAGTCAAGATGATTAAGGGGCAACTTAATTGAAGCGTTTTGGATATTTAAAGGATTTCATAAGGTAGATAAGTCTAGTGGAGGGAGTTCAGAACAAGAGGGCAAAGGTTTAAAATTAGAGTCACACTATTCAGGGGTGATGTCAGGAAGTATTTCTGGAACTCTCCTCTCCTCCCCACTGCTTTCTGCGGCGTCTCTTATTGACAGATTCCTCAATAAGAGAGTTGGTGTATGTTGCATTGAACCAAAAACATCAAGTGGGCTCAATTTCAAATATAAAGTAAACATACATTTCAGTCTGCAAAGTGAGGGTCAGCTAACTTCTTTTAATTCAGAAGTCACACAACACCAGGTTATAGTCCAACAGGTTTATTTGAAATCACAAGCTTTCGGAGCGCTACCAGTTTGTCAGGTGACTAAGGGGCTGCGCTGTGAAAGCTTGTGATTTCAATTAAACCTGTTGGACTATAACCTGGTATCATGCGACTTCTGATTTCGTCCATCCCAGTACAATACCTGCATCTCCACATCACGGCTTCTTTTAATTCAAAATATTCACCCAGAATAAGGAAATGATGCTAATTTATAGTCCCTTCAAGTAATTTCCTGTTGTGTTGGGGCCATTGGTTATGGGAAGGTGGTTCCCTCTGCAGTTTAAACCGACATGGTTTGGCGTTTGGCTGCATAACTCATACATCATATTCAGCGCAAAAGCACACTCCCATCTCTTATTTTCTGTATCAGATTCTAAGTGTTCATCACCATTGACCGGGCTGGAATCCAAAGGTGCAATCACAAAGCTTAACTTCAAATGAGTTAATGATTTCTAATCTGGAAGGAAAAGAGGGAGACAGTTGTGCAGAGATAGTAGGAACTGCAGATGCTGGAGAATCCGAGACAACAAGGTGCAGGGCTGGATGAACACAGCAGGCCAAGCAGCATCATAGGAGCAGAGAGGCTGACGTTTCGGGCCTAGACCCTTCATCAGAAATGTGTTTTTTTTTGGGGGGTGTGAAGAATACTTCTTTCTAATCACCTAGAAGGAGAACTTTCCAGTTCCAGTGGTTAACCAATAACACACATATCATCATTTCCATTGACAAAGCTTAGCTGCAAAAATATGCCGAAGTGATTCATTCTACACACTGACAGAACACAACCCAAAGCCAAGATAAGCCTCACTGTACTTTCACTTAAAAAAAGAAACTGAATCAAAAAGGAAGCTTAGAAAAATAAGAGAACATGCTAAATCATTTTAAGACCCATTTTCTAAAGAGAAGCAGTTAAGCATCACTGACAAATAAAAGGTATCAAGATGCTGGGGAAGAAGTGAGATAATCAATCAAAACTCAGCCTCTCTTTTATTAAAAAGAACCTGTGTTTTCCACATTGTGATAAAATCTCTCGTCTGGTTTCCAGCTCTTTCAGCCACTTGCCATTAGTCTCCCCACACTCCCAAACCTCTCAATTAGACACAGGAGCAGAATTATTAATTCAGCTCATCAAGTCTGCTCCACCATTCGATCATGGCTGATATGTTTCTCAACCTCATTCTCTTTCCTTCTCCCTGTAACCTTTGATCCACTTACCAATCAATAGCCTATCTCTTTCTTAAATACAATCAGAGTCTTGGTCCTCACAGCCCTCTGCTGGAATGAGCCCCACAGATTCTCCACCCTCTGGCTGAAGAAATTCCTCCTCATCTCAGTTCTAACATCCTGTCCCTTCACTCCATGGCTGTGCCCTCAGGTCCTAGTCTCTCCTATGAGTGGAAACATCTTCTCTACATCCACTTTACCCAGGCTTCCCAATATCCTGTATATTTCAATCAGATCCCTCCCGCATCCTTCCAAACTCCATCGAGTACAGACCCAGAGTCCTCAACTGTTCCTCACAAATGATAAGCCCGTCATCCCCAGGATCATTCTTGTAAACCTCCTCTGGATCCCATCCAACTTCAGGACATCCTTCCATAGGTACGGGGCCCAAAACTGCTTAGTGTATTCCAAATGCAATCTGACTACAGCCTGAAACAGCCTCAGCAATACATCCTTGCCCTTGTATTCTAGACCTCTCAAAATTAATGCTCAGATTTGCTTTATCTGATGGGGAGGCGATGGCCTAGTAGTATTATTGTTGGCCTTCAATCCAGAAACCCAGGTAATGTTCTGGGGACCTGGGTTCAAATCCTATCACAACAAGTGGTGGAATCTGAATCCAATAAAAATCTGGAGTTAAAGAGTACAATGATGACCATGTAACCACTGTTGAGCATCAAAAAAACCCATCTGGTTCACTAATGTCGTTTAGGGAAGGAAACTGCCATCCTTACCTGGTCTGACCTACACGTGATGCCAGATCCACCGCAAAGTGGTTGACTCTTAACTGCCCTCTGGGCAATTAGGGATGGGCAATAAATGCTGCCGAACCAGCAACGCCCTCATCCTGTGAATGAATAAAAAGAAGTCCTTCCACTTTGAGAATCTTCTCACTTTGAGATTTCTCAGCTTGTCTGATGCTCAGTACTGACGAGCAGACATTTTCTCCAAATGAACTTTAGGAAGACCTTTTGTTCTTGCGATTGCCTGAATTCTGCAGCTGCTGAAACCATCATCCACCCTGCTCTCTCTCTCTCGACTTAACTGTTCCCTTGCCCTCTGGGCTGGACTCCCGTATTTCAGCTCTGTTGCCTGTGCCTTCACCCATTCTCCAATTATCCCTGTGCTCACTGGCCTACACTGACACCTGGTTAATCAAGGTTTTGTTTTCAAATTAATGGTCTCACTTCCCATAAACTTGGTAATCTCCTCCATCTCCATGTCCCTCTGAGATTTCTAAACTCTGTGTAGCACTTCCAGCTCCTCAGATTTAAATCGATCCACCATTGGTGGCTGTGTCTGCAGCTGCCTGTGTCTTAAACACTGAAATTCCTTCAAAATCTCTCCACTCAACTCTCCTTAAAACCTCCCTCATGAACTAAGCTTTTTACATCTACCCAAACAACACCTTATATCGCTCTGGGTGAAATTTTGCTTCATAACACTCCTATGAAATGACTTGGGATGCCTCATTATGTTTAAGGTACTATTGTGCAAGTTGTTTTTGTAAACATGTTGGAACCTCCAGAGGCTTTGAAAGGAACTACAGAAATCTGCAAACTTATCATTTTAAGATGTCAGAATGAGTCATGTATGTAAATACCTAGAGGTGTACTTACTGTCCCAAAAACAGGTAGACTGCAGATAGCCCCAGTGAGGACAGGTTCCAAAGGCAGGAAATTTCTCCTGTAGTCATTACAAAGAGCAACTCAGGCGTCCTCCATTAAAACAAATGAATGAATCTGATCCTCTGAACCATAATTTGGGATTCTGCTCCTCCATGAACACAAGCTTACGTTATTTATTCATTAAAGGAATATTCAGCTTGGGATTCAGTAAGACTCTACTTAAAGGCCACAAAATGGTTTTCATTGAATTTTTAAAAGTTCATTTCTGTGACCAAGAGGGATGCTTTCTCTGCCGTTATTTGCATGTGAAGAAGCCCCAATGTCTGGCCATCCTGTATTAACCACACCAGTGAGAAACAGAGGACCATTATACCAAGATGGCCAGGCAATGTGCTGCTTTGCTTTGGTCCATTCAATTCCCAGAAGGTCAGTCCTGATGGAGCGCTGCACTATCCGAGAATTGGTGCTGAGGGAGCACTGTATTACTGGAGGATCAGTACTGACCAGGTTTTGGTGTGTTGGTACTAAGGCATGGTGGAGCCCATGGCACTATTTTGGAGAGAAAAGAAGCTCTTCCCTGTATGCTGGCCCTCAAAAAACCAACCATTTTCATATTGCTGTTTGTGGGCTCTTGCTGTGCAAAACTGACTGCTGTGTTTCCTGCACCACAACGGTGAGAACACTTCAACAGTACTCTACTGGCTGTAAAAACAAAGTGCAATATAAACCTCCGTTTATCCTTCCTTCTAGTGGTCACAATCTGTATAGAGGCCAGCCAATAAGCCAACTTCTCACATTTTCTCCAGCAACAAATGACTCTGTAAACATCTGGTGGAAGACAAACATTAGAAAATAAACCTTATCCAAAACACGCAGCACAGATTTATTTGCGTAAAGCACTTAAAAAAATGCATATCTGAAGAATAAATGCTTAACTAAATTTTAAGTAAGTTTAAGTCTTTCTCCAGAATTTTCCAATTATTACTTGTATGTGAGGTATTTTGTTTTTGGTCTATGCATGAATCAGTAGCTGGCAGTTGGAAACAGTGTGAAGGGATTAAATGAGCACTTTAATTACTTAGGTTTGTAACACTTCCTGGTTACTGAGAGTTGCATTCAGTTGCCTGGTTGCACATTGGTCCCTTCCTCAGTTTGTTTACACTTGCTCAATGGGACCTGCAATATCAGTCAATGTTACTCAGCCCCATGCAAATCCTTCAAAGATTTTGACTTGGTAAATGCAGATTGCTCAAACCCACCATTAAAAATCACAAACCTTTCTTCACTTTTTTCTGCAATTTCAGTGTATCAGATGATTTCTTCTTGATCTCTTGTCGAGCTTTCTTGTATTCTGCAACAATTACCAGCAGAGACATCATTAATAAGGAGGATTTAAAGGGAACTGAATCTAACAGAAGTAACCGTGTAGTCTTGTCACACATCAGCAATCACTTTGATGTTTTTAGAGACTCTATAACCAATGTTGTGAATTGTCAGGAGCAAATTACTGCGGATGCTGCAATCTGTACGCTGTGAATCGTCACACTTGCCACATGTCGTGATTTGTTCCCCAGACCACAGCTTTGCACTAAAATCGTGGGAGCAGCTTTAATAAACCACTTGCCCAATGAATAGCCTGGACATGCACAGACCTGTGTCTATTGAGCCTTGCACATAACACTTGGTGAGGAGGATGTCAACCAGTGCTAACTAGAGATTCACTCCCACAACCATTCTCAGCAAAATCAGCTCTGATCTGACCTTAGGATATGAGAATTACTAACAGCAGTAACAAACCCATGGCTCATATGCTATTGGGAGGAATTGCTCAACCTAGCCCTAGACACTCGGGTATGTAATACTGCAGCACAGGTATACTTCAGTGTAACTCTGTGCCAATATTGTGGACTTTATTTACAAGATGAGGCTGGCGATGCTGATGTCATTCACCTTTGGTCCAAGGGGACTGAGGAAGGACTTGGCAGCTTTTGTCAGCTTATGACTGGTTTGGCTGGGGTCGAGAAGGTAAGGCGGTCCCTATTGGGGGGGTGTGGGTGTGCGTGGGGCGCCCAGGGCTAAATCACAAGTGACAAAGACCTGGGGTCCGATCAGTTACCTTTGGCATGGTCCTTGTCCAGTTGGTTGGCAATTTTCTTCCACTCCTCAATCCGACCCTCCAGAGGGTTTATCAAACTGTCAGTCAGAGCACTGTCAGAGGAAAAAAAAAGTAAACAACTCAGCAAGTGAAAGGAAATGGAATTAATAATTGTGCGTCTGTGAGGCAGAGAAAAAGTGAAAGAAAGAAAGAGTCAGACAAAGAAGTAGCTGAGATGTTGAGGGAGAAAGCAAGACTAAGAGCCATCAAAAAATGACGGACAGAGGTTTTGTTTCAGCAAACACAAATAACTTGAATAGGGAATGGGTGGTCACCAGGCAGTCCATCAAGGTACTGCTCGAGAACCAATTTCCATTTGGGATACTGGTGAGGTTGTTAGTGCCACAGAGGAGCATGGCATGCGCCAAGCTCAGGGCAACATGTGTGGCCCAGCTGTACGGGAGGGAAGGAAGGCAGGTGAAGAGCAGTACTGACTGGGGAGACATTAGTCAGGGGAACAGACAGGAGTTCCTGTGGCCACAGACATGGCTACAGTCTGGTTCATTGCCTCCCTAGTAACAGGAAAGAACATGGAGAGAAAATATAAAATTACAGTGTGATTCCAAACAGTATTCAGGAGTAGTAAAGCCTGAATGCATAATTCTATATGTCATTAAAGGTTGCAGGACAAGTCGAGAGATCAGTTCATAAAGCATACAGTATGCTAGATTTAATTAATGATGGGATGGAGTACAAAAGCAGGGACGTTATGCTGAACTGTATAAATACTGATTAGACTCAACTGGCTCTTGGTGCACAGTTCTGAGCATCCTGAAGGATGTGAGCGCACTGAGACAGTGCAGAACAGGTTTACGAGAATGGTTCCAGAGATGAGAAACCTAGGTTATGAAATCAGATTAATGAAGTTGAGACAATTTTTCTTGGAGAAGAGAAGGCTAAGAGGAGATTTGATTGAAGGTTTCAAAATCATGAGGGGGTCTGGACAGAGAAGATAGGAAGAAACTATTCCCTCTCATAGATCATTATGAAGGAGTCAGAAATTATAAAAATAAAAAGTAAATGTACCATGCCAGGAGATCTCACCACGCAGCACATGATTTAGGACCAAACTGCACTGCCTGATAGTGTGGTAGATTCAGGTTTAATCACATTTAGGAGGGTACTAGATGATTATTGAAATAGAAATAACAGTCAGGATTACAGGAAAAGAGAGAGAGAATGGCACTAAGCTATTTGGGTTATTCTAGAGCTAATTTCCATAGGATGGGCTGAATGGGCTGAACTTTGCACTGTAACAATTGTGATTTGGTGAACTTTTACAGCAGACTTACGTAGTGAGCTGCTTGAGCCTTGACTCAATGCTGCGATGTCTCATACACATCCTGGTCAGAGCTGAACCAATCTCCTTTGTAGCACCTGAAACAAAATCAGATACGTCAGAAATTTTTTTCATTTACTTGTGAGGCATGAGTGTTGCTGACTGGCCAGCATTTATTTCCCATTGCTCGCTGTTCTTGAATTGAGTGGCATGCTAGTCCATTTCACAGGGCAGTTGATAGTCAAACACATTACTGTGACCCTGGAGTCACATGTAGGCCAGATCAGATGAGGAAGGCAGTTTCCTTCCCTGAAGGAAGTACATTAGTGAACCAACAGCATGGAGCTGGAGGAACACAGCAGGTCAGGCAGCATCAGAGGAACAGGAAAGGCAACGTTTCGGGTCAGGACCCTTCATCAGGATTGGGGACGGGTAGGGAGCTCAGAAGTAAATAGTGGGGGTGGAACTGGGGCCAGATAGATGTGGTGGTGATAGATGGATGCAGGTAGGGGGTTGTGGAGATTGGTCAATGGGAAGTGGGGGGAGGAGGGAGAAGAGGATAGGTGAGAAGGAAGATGGACAGGTTGCGTCAGGTCAAGGAGGCGGGGATGATGGGAGGGCTGGAAATGGGATGAGGCCGGTCGTGAGGAGATCTTGAAGCTAGTGAATTCTATGTTGAGGCCACTGGGTTGTAAGCTCCCGAAGCGGAATATAAGGTGTTGTTCCTCCAATGTTTATGTGGCCTCATTGCAACACTGGAGGCCCAGGGTGGATATATTGCCAAGGGACTGGGAAGGGGAGTTGAAATGGCTGGCAACCAGAAGGTGGTGTTGATTGGAGCGTTCAGAGCATAAATGCTCCATGAATCGGTCACTGAGTCTGTGCTTGGTCTCTCCAATGTACAGGAAACTACATCAGGAGCAATGGATACAGTAGACCAGGTTAGAAGATGTACAGGTGAATCCCTGTTGGATATGGAATGATTGTTTGGGGCCTTGGATGGAGGTAAGAGGGGAGGTGTAGGGGCAGGTTGTAGGGAAAGGTGCTGTTGATGTGGAGTGTGGAGCGGACGAGGCAGTCGTGGAGAGAGCAGTCCCTACGGAAAGCAGATAGGGGTGGGGAGGGGAATATCTCTTTGGTGGTGGGGTTTGATTGCAGGTGGCGAAAGTGGCGGACGATGATACGTTGGATCCGGAGGTTGGTGGGATAGTGAGGACCAAGGGGACTTGTCCTTGTTGTTGTTTTGGGGTGGGGTGGGGGGTGAAGGGGGCTGTTTGAGGGCAGAAGTGCAGGAAACGCAGTAGATGCAGCTGAGGTCATTATGAATCATCGGAGGGGCAAGTTACGGTCCTTGAAGGAGGACGACATCTGGGACGTCCGGGAGTGGAACGCCTCATCCCAGGATGACCTGGATGGGTTTGTCAATAATCAACCGTCATTGGTAGATTCTTAACTCCAGATTTATTTTATTATTGAATTCAAATCCCACCATCTGCTGTGGCAGGATTCGTACCCAGGTCCCCAGAACACTAGCTGAGTCTCTGGTCTAGTGATAATACCATTAGGCCACCCTTAGTTATTTCAGTAATTTGCTGATGTTAGTGCATTGTAAAGAAAGCTTTACTCTGTACCTAACAACATGCTATGCACGTCCTGGAAGTGATTATTTTATGTGTAGATGGCTGATCACAGGGTTATTGAAACAAAAATTAGAGCGAAAGTCTGAAACAAAATAAATGGCAACAATACCTACACTGCTTGTACACTCATTCTCACAATAGGCTAATTAATCAAATTTTAACCCTCTAGCTCAAAATAATCAAAGTATTGAGACCATTTCTTTCATTGATTTGAATACTTGGAGTTAGAGAAAGGGAGAGAATAGCACATATCTGTGACTGTGTAAAAAACAAACATCTCGATGCTCAGAGGAAATCAAACTTGTTCATAAACAAAATGCAAAGAACTGCCAGTGCTGAAGGTCTGAAACAAAAACAGTAATTGCTGGAGAAACTCAGCAGGTCTGGTAGTATCTGTGAGAGAAAGCAGCGTCAGAGGACTTCTGAAAATAGGTCGCTAGACTTGAAACATGAACTCTGCTTTCTGTCCACAGATGTTGCCAAGCCTGCGGAGTTTCTCCACTATTATTTGTTTTTGTTTGCTCTTTTTCCTTCAAGCTACAGACTTCTCACAACTTGAGTAAATCTCTCAATTAATCTGGTTTCTTTTCACAATCTGCAGTGTGATGGTGTTGCTAAATCCCCCCATAGTTGCTACATCAAGCCTCAGCAATTTCACTGCTCAGCATTTTTCTTTAAATTCACTCACCAGGACATGGGTGTTGCTGACTGGGCCAGCATTTATTGCCCGTCCCTAGATGCTGATGAGCTGCCTTCCTGAACCACAGCAGTCCACAAGTAGGTAAACCCATAAAGCCCTTAGGGAGGGAATTCTAGGATTTTGACTTGGAGACACTGAAGAGGTAGCCTTATGGCAGAGTCAGTGCTGAGGGAGCGCGCCGCACTGTCAGAGGTTCAGTGCTGAGGAATATCACCAAAGGAGATATCACCAGGAACAAAACAAACACTGATTTAGTAAATCCACTACTACAATGCACCAGTAACCCTGGAGTGCAGAGTCATTCAAGAGACATTTACACAAAGCTCATGTGGTTAATCTGGTGCCATGGCAAATTTACAGGAAGAAATATTGAAAAAAAAACTTGGAAAAATACCCCAGCGGACCCAGCCTAAAAAAAAAAGCCCATCTAAAACACTAACCATATCGACCATCCAACTCTGCATTTCAATTGCTTTCTGTTCAATTCCCTCATTATTGCCTCAGAATAGAATAGTTTATACTTGTGTGATGCCTGATATATTTCAAGATGTGGAACTATTGCTGTTTTTAGAACAGAGAAAGTTAATGAAAGATTGGACACTGGTGTTCAAAATTATGAAATTTTGAGTGAATAAAGCAAACAAGCAAAGGAACCAGATTGAAGATAATTAACTAAGGGTGATCAGAAGTAAACTCTTCATGGCAAGTTCTCATGATTTGGAACAAGCTGAGGAAGCACCTATGACTTGATAGAGGTGTACAAAACGATCAGAGGTATAGATAGAGTAGACAGCCAGAGACTTTTTCCTAGGATGGAGGTAGCTATTACGAGGGGGCATAGTTTTAAAGTGAGTGGTGGTAGATATAGGGGAGACTTCAGAGGTAGGTTCTTTACTCAGAGAGTAGTAGGGACGTGGAATGCGTTGCCGGAGAGGGTAGTGGAGTTGGCCTCATTAGGGGCATTTAAGCGGCTATTAGATAGGCATATGGATGATGGTATAAGGTAGGGGTGGCGGTTAGATAGACCTTAGGTTTAGGGTAAAAGTTCGGCACAACATCGTGGACCGAAGAGCCTGTACTGTGCTGTATGGTTCTATGTTCTATGTTCTATGAAGCAGATTCAATCATCACTTTCAAAAGGGAATTGGATAAATATTATAGGGCTAGAGAAACCAGTACTGAGAATTTATTGGATTGCCCTTTCAAAGAGCTGATAGGATCAAAGGGCTGAATGGCCTTTTGGGGGGTATCGTTCTTTATAAAAAGCCGCACACTGTTTAGTTTGTCACTTCGTTATTGAGTTTGACATCATCGTCTGCACTCTGTCACCCCAGGATTGTGTCCATTCTCCTGGAGACACAGCTTCACTGATCAGTGAGCTGAATGTTAAGCAATGGAGAGCATCATAATGAAGGCTAATCACAGGCTGCAGTGTTCATTTATTTAGTTCCCCATGGGCTGATGGACAGCAGCAGTCTATCCTGCTTCCTTCTTCAGTGAATGATGCTGATCACCATCTCAGCCGAATCAGCAGTGCTCCAGGTGCAACACCCCTCCCTCTTCAACTTTCAAAGGTCCAGGGAAAAATGCCAGACCAAGCTGCGAGGACAATAATGCCGAAGGATACAAAGATTCATGTTAACTGCTGCCTATGGAAGGTCAGACTGCAAGCTCGGAGCCCGTTAGCTGTCTGCAGTCTTAACCTTTCCCATGTGACTGATGGATCTCTTTAACAGGCTGATAAACAAAAGATATGTAATCTCTGTTGCTTGATCTACACATGTGAAAGCCAACCTGGTGAGTGTTTGAGCAACTTGGAGGAGGGGTTGAGAATGCTGTGCAGTTTGAGGGGGTTCAGAGGGTTGTAAACTCTTCACCAGCACGACAAGGCAGCGCAGGAGAGGGAATGGATTCTATCCCACATTCCACAAACAGTCTGAGCACCTGGATTGAGTTATAACTTGGCAGCGACACTGAGCACATTTTATCCATAGATTATTCACTGTCTGTGGCAGTGAGGAAAGAGCAGACTGTCTCAATGATTAGCAAGCAACAAGTTTGGAAATGAACCCTATAAAGATGATGCTGGTGCACGCAAGCTGGTGTAAATGGTGGGGAAGGGTGAGTGAGGGGCCGAGGAGGGCCAAATGAGAAGAACTAAGCACAAAAATGCTGGGCGTGGGTGGTGGTGGTGGTGATTGGGAGAGGGGAGTGGATTGGAAATCCTCAAAATCCCTCCAATAACAGGGCTAGAAACAGGACTCAAGACTTGGACAGAGTTCCATTTGGAGTAATGATCACTCAATGGTGTCAACTGCCCTACTTCTATATTCCCACTAAGTATACAGGGTGATGCAAAACTAACACAAAAGAGAGACATTCCACAGCCAACCTGCCTCAGTGTGTGGGTGTGAGGTATTTAAACATCTCCCAGAAGCTTCACCATCAGAACTGATCTAGAATCTACAATGTTTCACCCCATGTTACACAACTAGGAATCTTCTCTTCAAACACATCCCCAACTGGAAAATAGGAGCTAGATTCCTTCACCTCCGCTTTTCTCCCTGCAGTCTACATTTTGAAATGTTAAACCCTCGCACTCCAGAAAAAGCACATCAAATTGATTCCTTGGATAAGCAGTATGGGGTTTGGGTGGGGGGTTTCTGAAGGATTGACAAACCCTCTCCATTTGTTTCTCTCCATTGATCACATAAGCCACCTGCACCTTGAACGAAGTCCTTCATCCAGTTTGATCTCTCAATCCCCATTATCCAGCTATTGTTCAGGCACAGTAT